TTAGGCGTATTTCTAGGTGGGAATGCGGTTCCGCTTTAGGAAAAACACATGAAAAGACATCAACGACACACTTGTGTAAAAATATACTCACCTTTTCTGTGTGAACTAGTGTCTCTGAATCGTTTGCATGTTAGCTCTTTGGAATATCTTTAGGGAAAGCAGCAGAACGGTGTAGTAAACACAGCCTGGCTGTTTGTCTCCTTCTCCGAACGGACAGAAAAGGTTAACGCCCAGACTGTGCCGCTCTGACCAATGAGACGATCGGAATGGACTATTGAACCCGCCTCCAAACCGCGTCCAGCCAATCGCATCTCTCCTTGAATGTTTTCAGTGCTTTTTTATGTTGGACACTTCATGCACTCAACTGTCGCAGCTGTAATTACGTCGGCGAAGGAGGAGGGGCTATCAGACTCTGATTATTAATAACAAAATAACCTTATAAAAATCATACACTACACGGTTGAGTACATAGTGCATAAGTGCATAGTGTATATAGTGCGTCATTTGGGACGCAGTACCTGTTTTATTTTTCCTATGTTGTTAGCAACAGGATAACAACATGCGGCTGTTTGTCTCCTTCTCCGAACGGACAGAAAAGGTTAACGCCCAGACTGTGCCGCTCTGACCAATGAGACGATCGGAATGGACTATTGAACCCGCCTCCAAACCGCGTCCAGCCAATCGCATCTCTCCTTGATGCGCGTCGTGTGGTCTGAATAGTACAGTGTGACTGAGAAAGGTATAATCCTTCATTGACGTCAGTGCTGCCGCTCACGTGCCAATATGTGAAACTCGAACTATTTTGGCAAAATGTACTATTTTGGCAAAATGTACGTAATTTTATTGTACAAAATATTGATAATCGCAGGGAAAACAAGCCTGTGTGCATCCTAAAAACTGCCCATCGTAGGTAAAATATCTACTAAAATAGCCTATAATGGATTTATTGGGATGTTTATGTTGCTTGAAAAGTGTATAATCAAGTCAGAATGCATGGATCAATTTTGAATGGTCTTCAGGGTAGAAAAGGTCACGTTATGATGTAGTTTTGACATCTAGCAGCAGCACACTGTGTGTACTTAACAGTGTGCAATGCATGCTATTCTTTTTAAAGTATGCATTACGCAGCGATTAACATGCAAATTGGCAGTGCCATCAAATGAGCACGAGTATGCCATTTACTTAAGCAATTATTGCTCAAAGATAAACATGGTTTGAATCCGCTTTCTGGTTTCATCTCTCAGATTTCTCAGAAATAATAAATGAAGGCAGGACTTCGATGACTGCTTTGGCTCATTTGCTTCGGTGATTATGATATTTTTGTCACAAAGGCTGCTGAAGTTTGCAGCTCGGTGAGTCACGTGACGGCACGACAGTGGCGCACGAGCGCACGAACATCCGCAGTGACAGCTGCGCGAGGAGGACACCCTGCAAAAACCCCGTTTCACATGCATCCACTCAAATTACAGCACATAGCAGAGGATTAAAAGCATATATTCAAGAATAAATGCTCGGTTAAGAGTGACGACTTGAAGGATCACAAAGACAAAGCACTGTCGTTGCGCGTTAGGCGTATTTCTAGGTGGGAATGCGGTTCCGCTTTAGGAAAAACACATGAAAAGACATCAACGACACACTTGTGTAAAAATATACTCACCTTTTCTGTGTGAACTAGTGTCTCTGAATCGTTTGCATGTTAGCTCTTTGGAATATCTTTAGGGAAAGCAGCAGAACGGTGTAGTAAACACAGCCTGGCTGTTTGTCTCCTTCTCCGAACGGACAGAAAAGGTTAACGCCCAGACTGTGCCGCTCTGACCAATGAGACGATCGGAATGGACTATTGAACCCGCCTCCAAACCGCGTCCAGCCAATCGCATCTCTCCTTGATGCGCGTCGTGTGGTCTGAATAGTACAGTGTGACTGAGAAAGGTGTAATCCTTCATTGACGTCAGTGCTGCCGCTCACGTGCCAATATGTGAAACTCGAACTATTTTGGCAAAATGTACGTAATTTTATTGTACAAAATATTAATAATCATTTTGTTTTGTTATGGAAAGATGTATTATTTGGTATATTGGAGAACAGCAAAGAAAAGCACAGTCACGTTTACATGATAAATCTTATTTTTTACATGCAAAATTTCATATTCACAAATGTAAGTTCTCATGCAAAAAAACGTGTTTTTTTTCTTTTAGGAAGGAAATGGAGCATTATTTTGATACTATACGATTTTCTATGAAACAAAAAGCAATTAAAACGGTGAAAGTTTGTAAACGCTTTAATATTTTATATAAATTTGTATTTGTATACAGCCCCTCTAGTGTGAAATTGTTTATTTCATGTATAATGTTTATTGTTTATATCATGTATAGTGTTTGTCATATACATGTATTTTGATCTTGTTAATAAAAAATAAAAAAAACATGGAAAAAAAATCAGGTACAATTCAGATATCTTAAAATATAATTGTATGGCAAGCCGTTTTAGCATTTAAAAGTTTGTTTTTTATTTTAAAAATTTTTAAAAAGAAAAAAAATAAAGGAAAAAAAAAAGTGAAACTGTCTCGATAAAAAGAGAGAAACTCGGTTACAGTTATTCTGGTATTTACAATCACCAATAATATATCTCTAAAAAGCATCGAGATTTAGCAATGTGTAGTGATTATGTTAAGATTATTTAAAAGCATCGAGCACGATTTTTCTTAGAAGGTGTCACTGTTATTTATTTATTTATTAACATTTTTTATAATTTCCTTACAGGTGGTATTTGACTCTGAACTTGTACTTTTCTTTTATGCAACATCAGCTTTCTGAAGAATAACATTAAAAAGGAACATTAATTGCTATAAACGTATATTGCAAACCCAATTAAGTAGGCCTACTATTTATTTGCCGCAGAAGCAATGTAGAAATAAAACCGAATTATTGATTTAGCAGAACTAACTAGAGTACTGAGGTAGTGTTCATAGATTCATGGATCCTCATTTTCTTCTTCATGGAAGCATGCAAAGTTTATTAGATCTATATCTAACCCATATCTCTTGATTTTCCTAAAAGCCACAAAGAGACATGAGAAAAATATTACGTTTCACAGCTAAACATCCTGTACTAAAGGAAGATCATAGTTTATACTATGCAGTATACAAATATCGTATTTATATTAATAATATTTAGCAATTGTAACCTTAGCCATGGCCCTCACCATGCCAAAGCCCTTTTCTTTGGGCATCTCTCTGCTTTCAAAGATAAACTAGAGACACTGCAGTAAATATTGATTCATTTCACATTATAATGCCATTTGAACTAGATGTGCCAGGAGTGATGTGCCATAATGCATATGTTTGTGATTTATTTTACTGACAGCTGTTACATGATGGTGAGTATGGGGCCACTATGAGACCTGATCATCAAAAATGGAAGTCACTGTGACCTCACTGAGAGATATTTCTTAATGACTTTGTATTAATGTAAATATTATTTATTATGACCTATTAATAATATAAAATATACATGACCTATTAAAACCTTCCTCCCATTCATCTAGTGGACCTTTGTATCTGCCATCTCAGTGATGTGAACAACTCAATGGAATTGAATGGCAATTAAAAACTTGAATTGTATTTGTGACTAAGTGGCAAATCTTGGATGTTTTATAGGGTTAGGTAATTATGTTTTTTAGATCTTTTGGACAATGACTGCAGAGGTAAAACCTTTCACTCACTCAGTTAATGTGTTTTTCATCACCGTTTGGCATTTTGATTTCCCCCTCGAACGCTGAAGCGAAATGCATAGCGTGAAATTATGTCTGAAATAGTCTTTGTTTGCTATACAGCTTCACTTCACATCCCTTACGAAAATTAACCATTGTTTTATTATAGTAAAAGTGTAAAGGTTTTTTGGCTTATTGATTACCATTTGTATAACCACAGTTTTACTTCAAATACCATGGTTAATCTATGTAGCAAAACCATGGTTAATTTGTGGTTACCGTGGTTTATCTATAATCATGGTTGGTAAAACCATGGTTAATTTTCGTAAGGGATTAGGCCTAACGGTTCTCGGATAAGAAGATGTAGCGTCCAATGACAGTCTCTTATTGGATTATGCACCCACTGTAACGTACAAGAGACAGTGAAACACATACTACTAGACTGTAACAAGTATGAGGAGGACCTGACCTGCAGAGAGCAGCACGGAGCTGAGTAACAAACACCAGTACTTTCTGAAAGCTGCAGGTCCGGAAATGGCAAAAGATGTGGGATGGGGAGGTAAAGGGTCGGCATTTATACAACATTCAAAAACAAGTTGGAAATGGAAGGAAAAACTTTGGAAGTAGGAAGGAGGACACAATAATATCTAGACTCCGTATTGGTCACACAGCTCTTAATCAATCATTATTTATTATTGGTAAACATGAATCAGGTAATTGCAATAAATGTGGTATACCAGAGACTGTGGAACATATCACATTACATTGTGAAGCATATGAAAGAGAAAGAATGCGATTAATAGAAGAATTAAGTTTGTTGAATATCGAAAGTATAACAATTAAGACAATACTAGAGAATGCTCCAGCAGCACTGTATAAAGTCTATAATGCAATTATTAATTATTTGAAAGCAATAGTTTTAATAAATATAATTTGAAGATCACATAATGAAGTGTATAAAATAATTGTATCCTTGTGTAATACTCTTTTGGACAAAAGGTTTCCTTTTTTGTTGTTTTTTTTTAAATGATATGTTATCACCAATATACTTCATGCTCCACACTCCAGTCCAGTAGGTGGCGGAAATGCACCTTTTAAGTGGGTTTGCCAACCGCCATTAAACATCATAAGAAGAAGAAGAAGCTGCGTTTTTGTTGTTTCCGTTTCTGTTGTTTTTACTGGCACACATGTGCATCTCTTAAAGAAGTTCGACGCGAAAGAATTTAATAGGGTTTTTTTTTCTGTCTCCACCTCTCCTTTGATGTCAGTCTAATACCCACACTCCAGTCTAGTAGGTGGCGGTAATGCACCTTTTAGATGAGTTGCCAACCGCCATTAAACCTGACAGAAGAAGAAGTTCGACGCACAAATGTGTAAGAAAGTAGATCAACTGTGGGCCATTGACGGGGAATCTTTTTGTCAGCTCTAACGTGCTGTTTAAACTGTTCTCATAAAACCGGAAAAACGAACGTTTTTTTGCGGCCTGGACTTTTATGAAAGCAGAAACATCTTTACACAGTTTTAATGGAACAAGGTGGAGAACCGCATTATGAGAAACTATCAACAGATACGGTTCCACACAGGTGAGTGTGTTACAAACACAGCGACGAAACGACAAAAGATCTAGGCCTAGACAGGCGTCGTGTAACTTAACGATGTTATTCTGTGAATAGTTCGATTTGCTTTCGGATATTTAGCTTCTGACATCATATTTACAGAGGTTTCGACAGAAGTTGTTTTCTCTTACAGATTACCAGCACATGTTATGGCGTAAACTGGTTTGGGCTCCAAGTGTACAGGAGTAGTGTGGTGCAGTGTGACGATGATGTTTACTGGAAAAGTTTATGATTTCACATTAAACCTCAAAACTTGCCACTTAGAAGAGTTGGGACAAATTTCACCTCTCACGTTTTCACAACTCTCTGGAAAAGAGTACAAATAGCTTTTATTATTTTTGGAAGTTGATTAAAGGGGCCATATGATGTTGCTAAAAAGAACATTATTTTGTGTATTTGGTGTAATGCAATGTGTTTATGCGGTTTAATACATATTAATGGAATAATATAGTCACCTGAATCAGTTAATTACAAAAGTCATTAATAAAAGAGTATGTGAATTAAATGCTTTTGTCGTGTTCACATTCATTGCACAGACCAGATCCTCCAGAACCCAGCTGTGTGTCCATGAGGAGTGACTGGTCAATGGATCATCCACCTAAGCTTAATGGACACAATGAAAAGTCTAGGTAAACGATGTACTAAACC